CAGTACGTTTGAATTCCGAGCTATACACTCGTACGCTGACATCACGGCGCAGATACGGGTGCTGCGTGCTGGGACTGCGCAAAGAACGGCCACACATGCAGGCCGGTAAGACATTTCTGCGTTCTATCAGGTAGCAGGCCACTAACCAAGCTGCGTATCTAGGTCCCTGATGTGGCTCTTGCTGCCGTGCGTGCCTTTTGGGACCTGAACCGGCAGCTCAGCGGCGCGCATGGCGAACCGGACGAGGCCTGGCGTGCTGCTGCGCAGCGAGCAGCACAACAATTACGAGCTTGCGGCAGTGGTGCCGTCTCTCCTGGTACTCCACGACCAGCTCCTGCCTTGGCTTCGTTTGGCGAAGTAGCTTCGAGGAGCTTCGAGGAAAGCAAGCTTATAGCGCTGGAGACAATCGCTGACGCTGCTCGGCTCTGGATTGTGAGCATGGTCAAGTCGTCAGATGCAAGTTCGTGTACTGACTCCTTGTTCAGCAGCTCAATCAACCGGACGAAGAGGAGGAGGATGGGGAGGAGGACTAGGAAAACAAGGGAAACTGGGCAGTGCGGTTTCAAATCCGACTCCCACATGATGCTGCACCTTTCTTTGAAGAGGTTGAAATGTAATCTGCTGGTTCGCAGCGGACTCGCGGCTATCACAACATATTCGGTGCTATGCCCAAAATTCAGGAAAATCAAGCGGAGGTACAAAGAGCGATGTACTGCAGGACCAAGCCACGATGCTGCTAACCCGATTTGGCACTTTTGGAGTGATTTCGGGGGTTTTGCAACAGTCGCCCCTATAGCCTGCCGTAGTCGGCAGAATTCTGCCTGCACTAACAAAAAAGTGGCTGACGAATCAGAGGCCGTAAACCTGGCGCGTCCCTCAGGCGGATGCGCCCCTATCAATTGCCATAAATATACCCCCCTCGTCCGTCCTCTAAGAGCCTTAAGGAACGAAGCTCAAGTGGCATTTTGTCAAGCTATCGATACTAGTTTGTATGCCAACCGCCATGGGGATTGATACTGCATTGACCGAGAAGCGGCTCATGAGCTGCCTGGTCACAAGTCCTTACCCCTACCGGTACGTCTTTCTCACACCGGAATTTCCACCAATCTCAGTATCTGGGTTTCATCAGACGGTACGTGAGTCGTGGAGATGTCCGCATAATGCGGCACTCTCTACTGAAGAAAGCTCTCACCCCAGGGCACACAATACCACGAACAAAGATAGGCGATGATCGGATGGTAAGGTCTTAGAAAGTATCAGCGGCCCTGGTGCTGTTGGTATTGTTGGTAGTGTGGTAACTATTGAGCTCGTTCTGCTCCCGGACAATCTTCGTAATTAGATTGGCCATGGTGATTTCGATGATAAACTTGACACTATAGGCAACTGGATGGAATTGGGCGTAGAGGAAAGGGTTCGGAAACGACATCATGACGATGATGAGGATCTTCAATCGGAAGTTAGCCTTGCATACCGTAATACGGGGAGATTTATGACGGTACATACGTCCATGGATAGAGAGATAACAACCACACTGGCATTGAAGTTGAAGAGCCGCTTATATTTCGTCAGGCCTTCGGCTATCAGTTCGCGTCGGACCTTATGGAGAAAGGCTGCATTTAGAGCGAGGTCCATCAAGAGATAGATCACCTTCTCGACGCGGTCCCAGATCTCGTTGATGTGCAGCATTTGTTCGGATTGAGTAAGGCGGGCAGGTATCCATATGCAGGCAACTGCAATCTTAACAAAGCCTACAGCAACGAGGAGAGACAATTTCAAGTACTTGACTCTCCTCTTGTCAGCCATGATTAAGCCCAGCCGGTTCGCAATAATCTGCAAGGCTAGCTGTGTCTGGAGGGTCCAGAGGATGACGCTGCCAAAAAAAAAAAGCCAAAACTGCTCGTGTGCATCTGTTAGTAATGCAATCTGATGAAGGCCGCGCCCATGGATGATCTGCGCACCTTCCTTTGAGGTCACCCTGGATATACATTCAATTGATGATGGCTTGAAGGATATTGGTCACGAGTAGGATCCATATCCTTGTGAAATTATCGTCAACCCTGACTAGAGAAGGGAGAAAGAACTCTTACATCCAAGTGTAGAGGTTAAAGACTGACCTCGTCCTCTTGTGAATGGCAAACGTTTGCTGTGCGGCTTTGATGGCCGTCAAAATACAAAACCCTATGTTGATGCCGAAGTATATACTTGGGATCTCTAGAGAGTATACCGGTGCTCCAAAGTCTCCAGACCCCATATTGAATCTCGTCGCCCTCGATGGATTGACTAAGATGCTTGAACACAGTGAGTAGAGAGCAATGCCACAGGAAACATCGCCATTGAAGTAGGTCAGGCAGAGGAGCATTGGCCACGTTTATGTCTCACGGGAGCGCAAGAATTGTGGTCGCCAAGAAACTGTGGTATTCTGGAAGCCTGCGGTACCTTACCTATCTCGCTGTCACAAAATCCTATCATCTGCTAAAACTCAAGTATTGTGACAGGCCAATTGGAATAAGCATTCATATGACACGGCAAACACCCACGCAACTGCGCCAGAAGCCAACATTTGAAGTTTATGCCTAAGGGTTCATGTACGACTTTGACGGCCTACAGGGGTTGCCGTTGTAAAACTCAAAAACCACCTTTCAACAACCTAAATGGGTCTGTATGGACAAATTCCCGTCCCGCAGTACAATGACTCATGTACCTCAGCACATAGATCCTATGAGATTAGGCGCTGCAGCAGCAGCGGCGGGACCCACAGCGGACCAACGCAGAGGAACTTTCACAAACAACACAAATAGCCTGCTACTGGCTCTAGGCCACCAGGCGTAATAAACTTGTGTGTGTGTGTATGCCCCTCACCTACTGTATAGGACAATATCATCGCTTCCTCTTCCTCGCTCTCCCCGTCCAGTTTGTTGAGCTGCTCGTCGATCTGCCGGTTCAGCTCCCAAAAAACACGCACAGCAGCAACAGCACCTGAAGCGCTAATCGGCCCAGGTCTTTACTAACGCAGTCACATGTGAGCCTTGTCATATTATAGACTGCCTGTCTTTCTTTGCGCCGCTAACCAGGTAAGACACTGCCGTCGAGCCATCGTATATCATTTCTTTCGTTGTCCGAATCACAAGCTGCTGAAATTCGGTGGCGTCAGCTGGCCAGAGGAGGCGGCTCCTATCCCGGGATGGCTCGTGGACGGACCTTCCGAGCCACTGAAGGGTCGGAAGCGCCGGGGCCGCGTTCAGGTCCGTGTGCGGGGCGTGACGGTGGCTCGGAAGCGCGATTGGATCGGGGAGAAGGCCCTTTGGCCGTGTGGGGTACCGTGCTCGCGGAGTCGCTAACACTGGCTCGGGAGCGTAGGACCATGACATCCACTTTTTCGTTCCAGTGTCCGGCCTGTGGGGGACGAAGTCGGACTCTGCAACCTCCACGTGGTGTCGCCTGGGAACCTATTCAATTCTTTTGAATTGAATAGAGCCAATGCAGAGACGCAATCGCACGAAAGTGCAGCAGGGCGCGATCGCCACGAGTTTGCCTGCGGGCTGTTTGTGTTGTGATGGTCTGGAAGTGAGGGGTTTTTGGCGTCGCACAAAGCTTTTTCACACGCGCCCCAACGCAACAACCGCCAGCCAAATCGAAACGACGACGACGAATCGACGACAATCCGAGCTCGAGACGATAGCTCCTGTCCTACGAAGAGGGATACTAGGTACGAAAACCATCCGACGAAACTCTGATTCTCAGGGCGACGACAGGACACCCTCGGCCCTTCCGGGCTCTGAGACGACGAAGAGCGCTGAGTAGCCGCGAGGACCCGAACGAATACCTAAGTGGAAGAGCTGGAGTAATGGAAGCTGTTAAGATCTCGGGGAACAGAGTCGTTAAGGCCAGAGTGGCTACGGCTGGCTGGCCGGGACGCAGTCGGGAGCCTGCGAGGCTACTAGACGGCGACAGCGACCGCTTCGGCAGGAACATATGGTGGATAAGGGCAGGTTAGTCACAGACAAGAAGAGACCGCGCCGCTGGGCGGCCTTAGGACAGTCTGGGGCAAGACATGGTCGGCTTGTCAAAAACTAGCTCTCGAGCTAGCAACGCGCCTCGGAGACGAGGACAAGCAACGGGAAGCCAGGCCAGGGCTTGCCACCCTGGATAACTGGTGGGCCGTGGCGGATATACTCGATCTGTAAGGGTTACGAATGGTCTCGAGCTGCTATAGGAAGGAAGGCGTCGAAGAATTTGCCCCTAGGACGACCGAGGGATCTACGGTACGGTGTCGCCTTTTACTCGACTCGCACTCGAGGTGCCGTAACGGGAGGACTCCTAGGTGGTACTGCTCGCGCCGAGATGGCGCCGCGTATTCCGGACTTAGGCGTGGTGTCTCCGCTACGGGATTGACGTGACAGGCTTTAGGAAGGGGTATATTCGGCCGGAGAGGACGGACGCGCATGTCGGTGGACTTAAAGAGGGAAACGGCCTTGCGGTCTGCTTAAGGTGCAAACCTTCTATTTACTTGGCCAGGGTCTGGGCGGTGGCGAGCTGGCGGACCGGAAGCCGGTTAGAGAGTTGGTCGCTCTCTGACTATGGGACCCCGATATACTTAGGGTGACTTTGTATGTAACTTGTCCTGTGGGATGAGGGAGATAGCGGACTATAGGAAATAGAAGGCCGGGCCCCACGGCACCACCCGGGTCCAACAGACGTGGTCTTCTGCACGATCGACACGTCAAGGATCGAGGACGAACAAGACGAACAACTGACACCGGGCGCTGTTCGTACCCTCACGGAAGGCGAGGTCAGGGTGGACCAGAGCCAATCCGATTGGCGTTGCCTGGCTGTGACCAAAGACCCGAAGAAGCCTCGAATCAGAATTGCCTGCAGAAACGAGGAGGAGCACACCATGGTGAAACGGCTCGTGGGAGCCAAGCTGCCGCGGGGAGCCCGGATGCTGAGAGACGAACTCTACCCCGTCAAAGTCGACTACGTGTCCCGCACGGTGGTCGTGGATGAGGCGAATGCCATTCGTAGTGGAGCCGCCGAGGAGATTGGCAAAGAAAATGACGTTCAAGTTGCGAAGGTAGGCTGGCTTAGCAACAGGGATGTTCCGAAGGCGTACGGCTCAATGGTTATCTACCTCACGAAGAAGGCGGACGCGGAAAGGCTACTCGCGGAGGGTTACGCTTATGCGGGAGGACAATCCGGGAGGACCAAGGTCTTCGAATCTCGTCCTCGCCTCGACCAGTGCTACAACTGTCAGCAGGTTGGCCGCGGACACAAAGCTCACCAGTGCGACCTGCCCCAGATGTGCGGGCAATGCGCCAAGGAGGGTCACCACCACAGTGTTTGCACTGAGACTACCCTCAAGTGTGTTCCCTGCGGAGGTCCTCATGCGTCGTTCAGCAGAAACTGCAAGAAGCTCTACCCTTCTTTGAATGAGTAGCACGCTCCGGATAATCCAACTCAATGTGCGAAAACGCGGCGAGGTTCACGAGAGCCTCATGAACGACGAGGACATTCAGGACGCAGCGGTGCTGGTCATTCAGGAACCACAAGCACGGATGATCAAGGGACGGTTATTGACGACTCCGATGGGACATCACGGATGGACAAAGATGGTCCCACCAACGACTGGGGAAGGACGATGGGCGATCCGAAGCATGCTTTGGATAAGGAAGGATTTGGGGGCGGAACAGGTGTTGATAGAGTCTCCGGACATGACAGCAGCACTGTTGAGGCTCCCAGAGAGACTGGTACTGGTGGTGTCCGTGTACGTGCAGGGGATGGACACCCAGGCATTACAGGAAGCGTGTAACACCATACGTAGTGCGGTCGCGGATGCTAGGAGAGCCGCAGGAGAGGTGGTGGACGTGGTCATTGCGGGCGACTTCAACCGCCACGATCAACTATGGGGAGGAGACGACGTGTCTCCGGTACGACAGGGTGAAGCCGATAACATCATCGACCTAATGAACGAGCTCTCCCTCTGCAGCATGCTCCCACGGGGCACGAAGACATGGCAAGGCGGAGACCACGAATCGACAATCGACCTTGTGCTGGTGTCAGAGGACCTAGCTGCGTCCATGATCAAGTGTACGACGCACGGGACAGAGCACGGGTCGGACCACCACACCATCGAAACGATCCTTGACGTATCAGTTCCGACCCCGAAAGCCCAAGGCCGACCTCTATTCAAAAACGCGCCATGGAAGGAAATCAACACCCGAATCTCTACGGCACTCGAGACAGTCCCGATGGAAGGCACGGTCCAAGAGAAGACGGACAGACTCATGTCAGTGGTGCTGGGAGCAGTACAGGCCTTGACACCGAAAGCCAAACCATCGCCATACGCGAAGCGGTGGTGGACGGCGGATCTTACGCAGCTCCGCCACATCCACACACATTGGACAAACCGGGCGAGGGCAGCAAGACGGGCAGGACGGAACGATGAAGCACTGGAGAACACGGCCAAGGGAGCAGCGAAACAATACCATGATGCCATTCGACAACAGAAGAAAACCCATTGGAATGACTTCCTGGCCAACAACGACAACATCTGGAAGGCCGCCAAGTATCTGAAGTCTGGCGACGATGCGGCGTTCGGCAAGGTGCCACAGCTTGTGAAGGCTGATGGCACACGGACGACCAACAGCAAAGAGCAAGCGGTTGAACTGCTTACCACTTTCTTCCCGTCCCTACCGGAGCATATCGAAGAGGAAGGGGAGAGACCTCAACGCGAATCAGCTGTTAACATGCCCAACGTCACGATGGAAGAAGTCGAACGCCGTCTTTTCGCGACGAAATCGTGGAAAGCACCTGGTGAGGACGGGTTGCCAGCGATGGTCTGGAAACAGATTTGGCCAGCCGTCAAGCACAGGGTCCTGGCGATTTTCCGCGCATCACTAGAGGAAGGAGTACTCCCCGACCAATGGAGGCACGCCAAGATCATCCCGCTCAAAAAGCCCGGCAAAGCAGACTACACCATCGCCAAGGCTTGGAGGCCCATCTCGCTCCTCGCCACGCTCGGCAAGGTTCTCGAGTGGGTTGTTGCGGAGAGGATATCCCATGCAGTCGAAACGCACGGGTTGTTGCCTACGAACCACTTCGGGGCCCGCAAACAGAGGTCAGCAGAACAAGCGTTAGTGCTGCTGCAAGAACAAATCTACGCAGCATGGAGAAATCGTTGGGTGGTCAGCCTCGTGAGCTTCGATGTGAAGGGAGCGTACAATGGAGTGTGCAAAGAGAGACTTATTCAGAGAATGAGAGCGAGGGGCCTCCCAGGAGGGTTGCTCCGTTGGGTAGAGGCATTCTGCTCAGATCGGACGGCGACAATTCAGGTCAACGGCCAAGCATCAGAGGTCCGGACCCTGCCGCAGGCCGGACTACCGCAAGGATCACCACTGTCACCCATCTTGTTTCTGTTCTTCAACGCAGACCTTGTACAACAGAAGATCAACTGCTATGGGGGAGCTATAGCCTTCGTCGACGACTTTACAGCCTGGGTCGCTGGCCCAACCACGCAAGACAACCGTAAAGGAATTGAGGCAATCATCGAGAAGGCATTGGACTGGGAGCGGAGAAGCGGTGCAACTTTCGAAGCGGACAAGACTGCGGTCATCCACTTCACCCGATGGGCCAAAAGGTCCGATTCGGAACCCTTCACTATCAAAGGGCAAACAGTCGAACCCAAACAGCATGTCAAGATCCTCGGCGTGATCATGGACATTGGACTCAGGTATAGGGAACACATTGCAAGAGTGGCGACCAAGGGATTGGAGGCTGCTATGGAGCTGAAACGACTGAGAGGATTGACCCCGGCGACAGCACGGCAGCTATTCACGGCCACCGTGGCTCCGGTGGTGGATTATGCCTCTAACGTCTGGAGGCACCGATGCAAAGATCGGACGGCGGCAGCAATCAATCGCGTCCAAAAGGTCGGAGCGCAGGCAATCATTGGAGCGTTCATCGCGATAGCCACGAGCGTAGCAGAAGCGGAGGCTCACATCGTCAGTGCACCAGAGCGATTCACGAGAAGGGCTATCAAGCTTTGGACGGATCTCCACGCACTGCCCGAGACCAACCCGCTTCGAAAACTGACTGCTCGCATGCGGAAGTTCAGGCGTTTCCACCGCTCACCATTTTTCCAACTGGCAACTGCGCTCAACGAGATTCCAATGGAGAACCTGGAAACCATCAACCCATTCACACTTCCGCCGTGATGGAAAGAATGCAGACCATTGCCGAATGAATGACGACTCAACATCGACGCGTGTCGACCAGGACGCGATGGTGCGCATCGCCGTCAGCAGCTCGGCACGAAACGAGCTGGTCGGGGTCGGCGGAGTCATCGAGGGACCAGGAACGGTGCCCGAGACCTTTTCTTTCACCCACGGCATGAGGACCGATCAGAACCCGTTTTCCGGAGAACTCGTGGCGGCGGCGTACGCGCTGCGGTTTCTGCCACAGCTAAGGGGCCAGAGGGTAACGTTACTGACAAGTAACAAAGCCGCGGTGCTGACACTTCGAAACCCCCGTCAACAATCTGGACAAGAGTACGTTCGCTGCATCTACGAAGCGGTCACTCGACTTCGAGAGACCGGAAACACCATCGCAGCCGTTTGGCTGCCTAGTCATCTCGAGGACGACCTCCTGAAGAGAGCGAAAGGAGAAGCACGCAAGGCCAGCCGAGAGGGCGCCTCACCAGAAAAGCAGTTCCCGAAGATGCGGTCCACCACCCTCAATGCTGCAAGACGCAAACTACGTGTAGAGAGACGACTACCGGACAAGGTTGGAAAACTCTCGAAGGAAATAGATATAGCTCTTCCTGGCAAGCACACTCGAGAACTATACAACAACCTTTCCTGGATAGAAGCGAGCATGCTGGCCCAGCTCAGGACAGGCATGGCGAGGCTCAACGCGTCACTTTTCCGAATCAAGGCAGTAGCGTCAGCCCAATGCGCATGCGGACACGCGAGAGAGACGGTAGAGCACTTCCTCCTTCGATGCACACGGTGGGCAACACAACGCGCCGAGACACTCATGTGCCCTGGCGCACAAAGAGACAACGTTTCTTTCCACCTGGGAGGAAAGACAACATCAGATGGTGATGACTGGAAGCCAAACATGAAAGCAGTCCGAGCTACAATACGCTTTGCGAAGGCCACGGGCCGGCTAGAGAATGTGTGATCCTTGATGAGACCTATCACGGCAAACCCAACCCCCCCCCCCTTCCCTACTAATCGAACCTAACACCCACACCTCGTGTCAATAACAGCAGGCGCCGCTTCAGTCGCCGTAGATAGGACTCTGAACACTTGAAGAATAGCCTTCAAGCAGCTTGCCAATACAATCTAAACCCCATGAGAAACCGGCGGAAAGACAGAAGACGAGAAAGCAAGAGCGGAAAGACGACCCCTTATGGGCTTGGGAGTTTCGGACAGACTACAGGAAGCGACCATGTACAATAGCGAATAGTGCCTTATTGGCTCTAGGCCACCAGGCGTAATACACTTGTGTGTGTGTGTAATTACTAGCTGGTATTTGTTGGACTTCTCATCATGCGACTAGTCACATCTAATGTGTTCTCAGCCTGTGCAAGAGATAATTTCGAGAGAACGGAACACCCTGCGGAGTATCTCTGCCTCCTAAGGTCAATGAACCCATAATCGAGCTACTCAGTGGCTAAAGGGGAATTTATCAGGAGAATCGGCGACTTTAACGTGGTCCGAAGTTAGTCCTTTTCGATGGCGGGGAATCTTTCTTGCTGATTCATGATTACAAAGATCTATCTAAAGGGGGGATAAAGGTACAGTAGGCGATATAGTACTAATAGGTAAAGACTCTAAATAGAGGGAGGGAGAGGCGTTTAATTATAACTATATAGTATAGTTTTACTCAATTCCTAGGAATAATTCATCCAAGGCCTCGTCCTAGCGAGATACTCGACAACTAGACCCTTATAGAAGTAATACATATCGTGACGCGGGCGACCCAAAGCTAGGTCGCAGCGGTCCGCTGAATTTAAGGGCGGACTACCTGCAGGAGTGATCATAAGGGCCTATGAAAGCGATCAGTGGATTATAAATTCACGAATCAGTATTCTTATTACTAAAGTCTATACGACAACTTGACTCTAAAACCTTAATCTAATAAAACTTGAATCCAATAAAACACCTTCTATGACATCTTCTAGGTTGTGAATGATTGGCGAGCAGCGCATGGAGCTAAATAAACATCGGGTACTCCATTACTTGTAAGAGGTGAATAATTCATGGGGCTGGGATCGCAATTCAGCCAGTGATAGTAATCAACGGTCCCGAGAGAGCTCAATGCTGATTTGTGCAGCGGTTCTCGACTCGTATGAAGATACAAGGAATTTAATTGCAGTATAAGCCCAGCCAGTCTTGGAGTCAAATCGGACATACTGAGCGCTTAGGTCAAGGGCCATCACTGGTTAACCAAGAAGCCCAAATTGCTCACCCCAGCTCACCCTTACAAAGACTTTCGTTTGTATGCTTAAAGCAGCGAGGCTCACCCAACTCACCTTTGTTAGGAGAGGGCTAATACCCGGAGAAGCTCCGAATGTAAATCTGCGCAGATGGCCCTCCAGATACTTCGCCCAGCGACATCCTAGGAGCTCAACCAGCCTATGAAGTCACCCCGTCGTTCTTCCTCTCAAGCATGTCCCACACTTCAGGCGAAACCTCGATTTCCTTCATTTCCTTTGGAACATTCTGTCCGACCAATTTCCTCCTCCCGATCACAATTTGATCTCCCTTCTTATTGCCCAAGATGCCGTTCAGAGTTGTGCGAGAAGCAAGCTGCAGATGTTTCGTACCATCAACGAGAAACAGCACAAGGGACACCCTCTCGGCATCCTTAACTCCTCAGACGATAGGTTACTGAACCGCATATTGAAGCTGTACGATGCTCAATTGAAAATATTTGAGTCCTGGGTATCAATATTCTGGACGGCCAACTATCGTCACGATAGTCGACATCGTGTCAAACCAGGGCATCTTGCGGCGCTGAACGGACATGTTGGTGTATTGGCGGAGCTGATACCAACACATACGATGACAATCGACGAAGCAGATGGCAACGGCAGGACGATGCTAACTTGGGCAGCTCAAAATGGCCACGTCGACATTGTCCAGCTGCTCTTAGACAAGGGGGCGGACGTCAATGCGCAGGGTCTCTGGCATGGCAGCGGCCTACATGGGCCCTCATACAAGGGTGGCGAGTACGGCAACGCTCTATATGCCGCCTCATGCGAAGGTCACGCAGAGATTGTCCAGCTGCTCTTGAACAAGGGGGCGGACGTTAACGCGCAGGGCGGCAAGTACGGCAACGCTCTGCAGGCCGCCTCAATCAGAGGCAACGTCGAGATTGCCCAGCTGCTCTTAGACAAGGGGGCAGACGCCAACGCGCAGGGCGGCGAGTACGGCAACGCTCTATATGCCGCCTCATACGAAGGTCACGCAGAGATTGTCCAGCTGCTCTTGAACAAGGGGGCGGACGTTAACGCGCAGGGCGGCAAGTACGGCAATGCTCTATATGCCGCCTCAATCAGAGGCAACGTCGAGATTGCCCAGCTGCTCTTAGACAAGGGGCAGACGTCAATGCGTAGGGCGGCAAGTACGGTAACGCTCTGCAGGCCGCCTCAATCAGAGGCAACGTCGAGATTGTCCAGCTGCTCTTAGACAAGGGGGCAGACGTCCAGCGTCTCGATTCGTTGGGCCGCACACCGCTCTTCTTGGCCGCGAGGTACGGGCATATTGACATGGTTCGCGTTTTACTCGCAGATCCTAACATTGACAAGACAGCAGAGGATTGGTGCGGTTCGATACCACTCTCTGCTGCGGTACGAAATGGCCACGCTGGCATCGCTGTCATGCTGTTGTCGAATGACAACAGCACGCTGAACGATCAAGATTCTTTTGGTCACAGTCTGATATGGTGGACGCGTCGTGGCGACCACGCCGACGTTCTTCTGGTTTTACTTCGTCACGCAGCGGAGAAAGACATGTTTGTAGATAGAGATGATCCTCCCATGATTGTGGAATGGACCCTGTTTGATACCCAGCAAGCATGGTGTGATGTCTATACGCTCACCATATCTCGTGGAACGGGCCTTTCTTGTAAGACGTGTTGTGGCGGAGGATTCTGCATATGCAAAGATTGCGTCGCACTGGGGTTCCGGTGCTGCGAATCGTCCCATTCTTTGGTGGCTCGATAGTGGCATTTGGTTGATGAGGGACTGCCGCGGCAACGTTGAACGAGGCGAAAATAGCATTTTAAGTGGCTGGAGGATGAGGATTGTCGAGGTAGCTCGCCCGTTAATACAGTATCTATCTGACTTATTCTGTCATCACTGTCATCATGGCAATTGGTCATCCACGTCCTTTGTGTTCCAGATGGTCGTGGCCCCACACGGATGGCCTTGATCCAGACCGGCGTTTGTTCCAGTGACACACCTTTCATACATCACACTGTGAGACCCCACTTCTTGGGCTTAAAGATGTTTTAATATTTACCCAGGCGGACGCTCAAATCGGCCGCTACTGTACAGTACTAGCTGTACTATCACGGAACCACCCGGGACCGAACAAGGGCGATCAAAGAAGAGCTCCAGAGAGACTCCAAGATTTAAAGCATTCACTATTTCGTTGAAATACGGCATCAGATTGATCGTGGGTGGGTTGGTCTTGACGCGGGACGGCGCGACGCGAACTGGTGGATCCCACTCCACGTGGCGCCCCACCTTCAGCCATGGTGACCGAACGCGACACGATCAATGTCGCGTCGGATGAGGAAGAGAGGGATGGTGGTGAGAGGCGACAACTTCGACCGAGGCCCAAGCCGAGCAACAAAGCCATCGGCAATCGAGCCACCGACAACGAAGCCATCGAAGATGAAGCTATCGACAATCAAGCAACCGACAATGCGACCGATGATGCGGAAGTCACGAAGCGAAGAACCAAAGGGCGCGGTACCAAATCGACGGTGCGACGACCAATTTCCGGGACCAACGGGGGGCAGCTGGACGGAAGGGCGTTGCTACGCGATATGCAGAAACAGCTGGAACGACAGACATCCATCCTCGAACAAGTCCTAGGAGAGTCTCAGGCGCAGGCAGCACGAATTGAAGAGCTCCAAAACCAAGTCAACGAGCTAAAGGAAGCCCAACATGCGACTACGACCGAGGTCCAGGCTTTACGTGAAAGCATCGTAGCAAGCACGGCAACGGCAGCAGAGCAGCGCAGAGCCGAAGCTTCGTATGCAGACGTCGCCCGAATGTCACCGACCAGCAATGCGAGGCCGTCTACCACGGTAGCACCACCGACCCAAGCAGACACGCTCTTCTGCACGATCGACTTGTCGAGAATCGAGAACGAACAAGATGAACAGCTCACACCGGGCGCTGTTCGTATCCTCACGGAAGACAAGGTTAGGGCAGAGCAAGGTCAGGATAACTGGCGGTGCCTCGCCGTGACCAAAGACTCCAAGAAGTCCCGAATCAGAATCGCCTGCAGAAACGAGGAGGAACTCAAGCTGGTCAAGCGCGTGGTGGAATCCAAGTTACCCCGAGAAGCTAGAATGCTACGAGACGACCTCTACCGCGTTAAAGTCAACTATGTAAAACGCACGGTGGTCCTGGACGAGAAAGACAAAATCCGCATCGACATCGCCAAACAGATCGGCCAAGAAAACAACGTTCAGATTGCGAAAATAAGCTGGCTCAGCATCAACGGTCCTCCAAAAGAATACGGCTCCATGGCTGTTTACCTCACCAAGGCGTCAGATGCGGAGAAGCTGTTGACGGACAGATTCATGTACGCCGGGGGAGAGTCTGGACGGACCGAAGTCTGGGAACACCGAGTCCGCCCTGACCAGTGCTACAACTGCCAGCAGGTCGGGACCGGCCACAGAGCCTACCAGTGCAGCCGGCCCCAAGTTTGCGGGGGATGCGCCAGAGAAGGTCACCACCACAGCACTTGCGATGAGGCCATCCTCAAATGCGTCCCCTGCGGAGGTCCCTATGCGTCGTTCAGCAGAAATACCCTCAATACGGCGAGGCGTCAACTACGCGTAGAGAGGCGACTGCCCGACAGCGTTGGAAAGCTCTCCAAGGAAGTCGACAAAGCATTGCCCGGCAAGCATACTCGACAATTGTACGACAACCTTTCCTGGATAGAGGCAAGCATGTTAGCCCAGCTCAAATTGTACGACAACCTTTCACCTAGGGGAAGGCATACATATGTAGGTAATATACCGTACAAACACATCAATTCAACATTATCAGGCTATCAGACTTTCCTTTGAGTTTGGTACAGTAGTGCACCTGGAGGGACCCCTTCGTGCGGCCGGGGTAGGACTTCGTGAACAGTTCATGAATCTTTGTCCAAGACAACCGTTCATCCTCCTCCTTAAGCCTCATCAGACAATGGTCTTCATCCTTCGTGAATGGTCTGCCCGAACTTGAGGCATGCTTCTTCTTGTGTCGTTTCCTAGCTGAACACCAAGGGTCTCGTGTCTCTGTAATGCGGTGATCCCGGCGATGATCCGCACGCCGGTCCCATGAGAACTGGAGCTGGAATGTTGCCACGCCGTTCACTGTCACACGCTTCAGAGCGACGTCCTGCAATGGCCACTCCTCAAACCGGGCGACAGACCGGTCCGTGACAGAGTCTCGGTCGGACGATTGATGAGAGGATGATGATGGGGTAGCGATACCACGAGTTCGGGCATTTCCCGTGGCACAAGTGTTGGCACCGGCCGCTGACAACCTCGAGGCTTGTCGCAAGGTTCGACGTTGAGCCGCAACGACCTGTGGAGATGATGACTTGCGACGTTTTGGTGCCGGCATAACATCTCCGTCTAGGCCGTCGTTGCTCCTTTCTTCTATGCAGTTGATCGACCTCGTTGTATAGCTTGTGTCGTTGTCGCTTCCGTCTTCAGACGATGAACCGTCATTGGAGTCGGAATCATGGTTTGCTTTGTGTTGGAAACGGGCACCTAGTGCGTTGCGGGATATAGCGCGCAGACGTGCGCTGTATCGCTGAGGGGTGCTATGGGTAGGGCGTGCACTTCGGGTTCGTCTGAGTCTGAGCGGCGAAATGGGATCGTGCGTTCGCGCCTGCAGCCGCGGTATGGTGGTGGGCGTGGATACAGGTGACGTGCCACATGGCGATGGCCCGGTGGACGTCACAGAGTCTTCCAAGTCGTAGAAAGTGTTGCCAGTCGTGCAGGGGGAGATGGTATCTTCTTGAGCGCGTCTCGTGTCCTGCGAGTTGGGTTGGACTAACTGTAACCCCACGCACATCGATGGGGATAAGTGGGACACAAGGGAGGAGACAGGCAGAGACGAGGCTAAAGCTGGCATGCCTTCATTTGTGTCGACTGCTGTCGCATGACACGGACCTCCCTTGTCAGCGGTGCCATCGATGATCTGGTCCAAAACCTGTCTGTCCGAGGGCGAAGGCAGAAGCCACCGTTCCTGAGCTTCGATATCTGGCTCGACTGAGCTGCCCCGAGATGTGTTGCCGGAAGAATGTGGTAGACTGCCGGCGTGGCGCGACAAGAGGTGGAGCGTGTCGTAAGCAGTGCCTGAGAGCGGCATCGAGGGGCTTTGGGTCCGTTGCATGTTGGTGTCGTCTTCGAATGCAGGGGCACCGGGAGCGGGGAAGAGGGTTTGCTGAGGGGAACTCGACGGGGTTTGTAAAGTGCATTGCATCAGAGGGAAGCCTCGATCGTATGACGACGCTGCATCGGCTCTTAGCTTTTCGGCAGGTTGCAAATTGGCGTCGACAGGAGATGGTTAACTCGGTCGAAGATCGGGCCGACGGGGAATTTCGAGATCGTTCGCGGGCTAACGCATCCATTAGGAAGTGAGGCCTGCTTCTCGGGCCTAGGCCTAGAAGTGCTGCTTCGGGCGTCTCCATCGCTGCTGCTCTCGCCGTCGCTGCCGTCGTTGTCTGATATTACAATGACACCTTCCCAGGTCGGGTCTTTGCCGCATAGCCTCGGCTGCTCGGCACGCTCATCGGGTGCGGAGAGAACCTCGTTTCTGGGAATGGCTAAAGTTGATAGTCTCGGCAGGTTCGGCGCTTTGGGGTCGGGCTCGTAGAATTCTATGCGATCAAGACTGACTTGCATGGCTGCGAAGTTTGAATATGCCAGTCCGGCTTGATAGATTTCTGGCGAGTGAGGAAAGAGTACGGTGAAGAAGTTAGGAAGTCAAAGAGGGGTCTAGGAGAACGTCCCGGGCTTTATAGACAATCCCTAGTTTCGCTGATGATCCCGAATAAGTCCTTGCCAGAGTCATGTCAGCAAACGTCAGGACTTGCTGGTAGGCAATATCGGATAAATGCTTAGCACGAACGAATTTGCCCCAGGCCCTACGACGATCGACCCGCCTGATAATTGCATCACCTCCCTCGATGGTGTTTCTGTAGCGGATCGTCGTAAAGCATCGCGTCCTCGGCCGTCCTCCAATCGCATCGGTTGACATCGTACGACTCTCGGACTCGCCGCTTTCCAAGAACCGAGTCATTGCCTACCAACTGCGTTCCCTTCGTCCGAGGAGGAACTGAAATGAACTAGTCAGATCTCCAAGCGAAACCTGATCGCAGGGGGTCCATCCCGTTGGTCTGACCCGGTGGCGCTCTAGTACAAGGCCTGGAGGCCTCACAGGTTGGGGCCAAGAAGCAAAATGCGCCGCGATGCGCCGTCCTTCCGTGACGAAGCTATCGATCGTATTCGGCTTCTTGTTCTACACGAAGCGGGGGCGGGCGGCCAAGTCCTGCTAGGGTGTCTTGCACTATGTGTCGCACGAAACGCCCAGGCGAAGAAGAGTGGCAGCGAAAAAGCGAAGTATGGAACCGAGTCGTCCAATCGCAAGGTGTCGGCGTAGGCGATGGTGCCGAGTGAGGGGTTAGGGGTGTCGAATTGGGAAGGGGATTGCCCGAGACGCTGCCATGCAGGAAACTAGCCTCAAGCTCGTTGCAAGGGCAGGCGGCAGGAGACGTCAGCCGGGGCGGCTTGCTCAGCGCGAGCACTGGGAACGCTCACTGGGCTTTGGGCGTGCGAGACCAGTTAGGCGGGTGGACCACAGTCAAGGATCGCCAGAGCTGAGACGAGCGGCCGGGAACGCGGCAGGGACAATGGTCGAGTTGGCGATCGAGGTCCTGCTTCGAGGATGCGGCCATTTCGGGGAGGCCGGGCGTCCAGCCGGGCTAAGCAGGCAGCAGCATGATAGCGGAAATGAAGGGGCAGGGGCGGAGCCGTCGAAAACGAGGCAGGCGAGCTGGGGAGCCAGGACGGCACGACGGCGAGGAGGAGGTCAAAAAGTATAGAGTACGAGCGACGACGTCGCGGCGGGAGGACGCCTACTTATGGAAGAGGAGGGGCGGGGCCCGTGCGCGGGAGCGGGATGGCCACAGGCCCAGCGCCGCCGACGTGGCGCGATGCCCGTTTGGGCGCGCCGCCAAACCCGGCGGGGCAGGCAGCGACTTCGCTATTACTTAATATAAACGAGCCTCCTCATATAAAAGAGAGCTTTCGAAGTTCTACGAAGACATTAACGAATTACTAAAGAAAACACCGACGATAGTATTCTCTATACTAATCTCAAGCGCGTTTCTAATTAATGGATGTCCTTTAATTTACTCTATAATTATAAAGACTTAAAGCTCTATAATATATCGGCAGAGTATACTCCTCTAATAGGTATATACTTAGGGAATTAAGATTATTATATAATATCGGATATATCTACGAAGAGAGGGTTAGAATAAGAATAAAGTAAATCGTTAACACTAAAAGAAACTAACTACATTATATAAACTTCGCTTTATACCTTATCCTACGCATCCGGGACTACTAGCTGAATCGGAAGCCGCACGACGAGCAACAAGCTGTTACGACCTGGCAGCTTCCAAGGGGGAACACTGTCAGAGGGTTAGGGTTCCTGTTAGCAGAAGCTTAGGTTGTGACTCTGAGACGATGTGGTGTCGTAAGGCGTTGCGCACTCGTTACAATGGATACAACCGCGCCTCGGGAAGTTACAAGATGAGATGGGCATCCTACGCGTTAGCAAGTCATAATGGATTACGTGGTGAAACAGTGATCCAGGAAACACGTAGTGAGCCATTCCAACATGGCCTCACCATTGAATAACAAGGAGCATTAAGGATAGGACAATCGGGTATAGGGATGGACATCCTTTTACACTTTCTCACGATAGTGATCAATCTGAGTCTTTAAATCCATTAAAACGTGTAAAGCCAAACGACACCACGTTCAGAGTCACGTTCTCAGGTTTAATATATACTCTCGACAGGTATACTACGCTGGGACCGGAAGAATCTCATGTACCAAGGGTTTCGTGAATCAGGACCTGATTCACGTGGCACGACCCTGATGGTGATTGGTGCGACCCTGGCTTGTTCGTATGGTCTCTGCGCCCTCGAATCAGGTCCGGATTCAACCACATCGCACGACGCATTGCGGATCGCGTTCACAGTAAATCAGGTCCTGATTCTGCTCCGCTACCAAATCCATCACATTTTTTCTCCACCCTAAACCAGGTCGGCCTGTCATCTCACATACACGTGGGGCACCACGATAACGGCGATGCGTACGACAACTATTGGTTAGTCTACTTTACACCATGACGAGGGCGCTCGCGCTGTACCCTCTAGACGGCACCTGACAGGAAACCGGGTTTCCGATCCAGACATGCGATTCGGGTTCCATACTACGTCGGCCGCTGGCACCGGCTCCTCTCAGAAAGGCTCGCTAGGAAGGCCTCTTGTACGAGCAAGCTAGAAAGAAACGGAAGAGGGAGGATCGGGAGGCAACGCTCCTCGCGAGCGTACAGCATACAATACTTCACGACGTGCTTCTCCTAGTGTGTGGTCATAAAACGTGCCGCATCGCCTTGTCGCCTGCAGCGAGTAGCGTCAACGACCATTTACGGAATCGGCATGACGTGTCCACCGACAAACGGAGAGAGATCGCAAGCATTATCCGAGAAAACCAACTTCAGGAAGAGTGTCATCGTCTTCGAGGCCCGACAACGGCCCGCCACGACCCGACAACTCCCCTTACACCGACCAACTTCAACTGCACGATGGGTTCCAATGCGAATCCTACTCGTTCCGTACAATCAGCAAGCCGATAATGGTACGGCATTTTAAACAAGAACATTCGACCGTAACTACCAAAGGCAGGTACCGACGCAGCGCTACCTCCGTCCTCCTACAGTCGTGGATCAGGAACCCGCCCTGGTCCGAACACTAGACTGTGCCCCGGAGCGGCGATACCAGTACCGATATCGGGCTCGATACGACGACTACGGCGACGCGCCACCTACACGACGTGCTCGCCCACGAGAAGATTTTCCATCAGTTTACACCACGTATACAACAGGTACCGACAACATACCGGTCTCCTTCGGGCCATGACGACGCCGGCGAGACACCTTATACAGAAATGCAACCGTGGCTCGCGCGGACGCAGTGGCAGCGTACCTACCGCGACATAGACCGCCGGCTTCTTCGCTTATTAACCTTACGACCCCAGGCGCGCCCTTATGCCCTGTTCCTGGGGACCGAATAATAGGGCGGGGCCGAGCTCCTCAGTCCCGCGTCCGGTAAAGCGAAGATTAAAGCGCTCTACGAGGCCACGGATCGCATCATTACGCGATACGAGGAAACGACAACGACGACAGGACGAAATACCTTATACTAGTTAAACAGCGTACGACCTACCAGCTACTTCCCGAAACCCTTCCGGTTCGTAGCCAAAGAACAAACCCGACAGATACAGACATCAAGCCGAGAACGGGAGACGTGAAGTCGTACCCAAGATTTCGTCTGGGCATACCTTTCGTTGAAGCCCATAGCTATTAATGGTATATCCTGCTGTGATAGTGATTGACCCTGGCGATACCATCGCTCCCAATAGATACGTAAGCTGGTACGAGACTCGTGAAGCCATACTAACTGCTCTGGCGTCGTCCACTGCGCCTCCAGCCATCGCATTCCTAGCCCAGGGTGGAGGATAACAGCTGCCGCGTATAATGGAGACTCTGCTAGCTTGGTGTAGTATTGATTGAGCTTCTTCCACGCGTTCGTGATAGAGAGACGGAAGTATTGTCGTGAGTCTTCGGAGAGTGCCTCGAGGCGATGAGAGGGCATCGTGGAATATTCGCTCTGTGTGTGTATGGGGAGGGAATGGATTGATGGGGGCGTGAAGGAGCTTTGCGTACGAGGTTGACGACCTCTCCGACGAGTTGTAGATACTCGGGGAGAGTCTCTGGTACTAGAGAAGTCGTCAAAGAACGACTTCCACTGTTCCATTTGCTCCAAGATATACTCCATACCCACGAGTAACTCCCAGAGCGCCCCATGGCTTCCATTCTTAGCCCATCCATGCGCGCGGATTGTTTGTCGGTATAATGGCTCAAGAGCCTCGCGGAGTTCTACAAGGAGGCGCCAATCCTCAAAGGTCAGAACGTCGTCTTCCGGTATACGTTTATGGGGGTCGGGTTCAGAGAGATTCTTCTGGAGGAAGCTTTGGATATCGCTACGCTTCTTGAGGGCCCGATCGAGCATTAAGAACGTTGAATTCCATCGCGTTTCGTTATTAAGGATAAGCCGGAGCTCAAGGTCGGATTGCTGGTAGATTTGGAAGCTATCGTCGGCTTCTTGAGCTTCTTTGGCGATGGTTTGGAAGTATTCACTACGCTGTGGTGAAGAACGAACCCATTGGACGATGTTATGAAGCTTACCAATAGGTCCCCTCTTCCTCCAGTGACGAAGAGAGTCTTGAGAGTCGCTTGATAGCTCTAGGGCTTGCGATTCTTGTTCAAAGACCTCACTATCCTCTCCATATAAGAAAGCCCTTCCAACGAGGTTCAGGATATGGCCATAGCATCGTATTCGTGGTTCTAACGCGTCATCAATCGTCATAGATGGAATTAGCTGCTGGAATAGCTCTTGACCACAAGAATCGTTAGTCTGCGCGTTGTCTGAGACCAAGACGCCAATACGATCTAAGATATCCCACTCCCTGATGATGGATATAATAAAGGCTGCGGTATTCCGGCCTGTGTGGCTTCCGCACTGTTGTCGGAGAGCAAGAAGACGCTGCTGTCGAACGCCACTATAGCTTATATATTGAAAAGAAACGGCCAGTATCCCCAAGCTATTCGGAGAGGTCCAGTGGTCGAATGTAAGGTGGATCTGAGACTTTGAAGTTATTAACTGATGTTGTATCTGTTTCTCCTTTGCGGTGAAAACCCCTGGAGAGACTCTGTCGAAGAGAGTTCGTCCCCAGGGTATTACTGGGGCGATATGAGGATTCAGTTGCGTAAGGGAGCCGACTGAGGTATGGGCTATTAAAGATATCGAAGGGCTGGTTTGTCGTCACGACGAATGCAAGAGCAAGCTCTTCTGCTTGATCTGTCGAAGACTTGTGTATTATGGTACGCCGCGGCGTTGACTCTGAAGTGCTTGAAGAGTCTTCCTCCGTCTGTTCACTTGAGGATTCGAATACCCTATGCTTCTTCCGTAGATGACTTGTTGCAGAGGTTGTTGAGGTGGCCTTGAAGAGCTGAACGTTGTGAGTCTCGTCACATCGTTGACAGAGCCAGAAGCTTGGCCCAATCGTATCTCCTTCGAGGATCTCTGTAATAAAGAGCCCATAAGCACGTATCCAGCTTCTGCGATCCCTTGCTCCCTTGCGTGCAATCTGTGACGTGAGGGTGAAGCGACGGCGACGCCAGGTCGCAATGGGGAAGGGGTGGGAATCTGCTACGTTGTTTGATTGCGAAGTCTCTGATAGTTGTGACGATATCGTTGGAACTGGAGTCGAATTGAAGATCGTGAGGGAAATATTGAGGGTTCTTGAAGTCGGCGGGTTGATATTCGGAAGGTAGAGGTCGTGGGGTGGCTGTCGGAGGGATTGAAGTGATATCGCGAATAGAGGGCTGGAGTGTTTGAAACTGCGTTACACATCTACGCGATATTTCGGAGTGTAGGATTAGTCAGCCCTCGGAACTTTCTTAGTATCATTGTTGCAGCGCTCTCAATAAGATTGTGTGGTCTAGTGGTATGGTATTCTGACTTTATTGGCAGAAGGCGTAGGTTCGAATCCTACCCCAGTCACAAGAATTGCACGCAAACTTGAAGCCCAAGTTCGCGTGCAATTCCCTTTTCTCGGTCACATGATACGCCGGAATATAGAAATCCCGAGATTCCCACATGACTTGACAGTATCCAAACAGCCAATCAATCCGAATGGGGTAGTTTGACTGTTTAAATCGTGAAATATGTGTGACTTGATCGGTTGTTTGACTGTTTGAATTGATAGGTTTGAATTGACGGCAGCGCTGGCTGGTAGCCTCACGTGACTTTTGTGACGAACACCTGCGGACTAAGTTGACCGACTCTGCAAAGGCTCAGACGAAGTCGAGCAAACCCGTATCAGAACTATCACCATGTCTGGAGAATAGAATTTTACAAAGAGCTGCGAGGCGAAGTTTGGAGGTGCGACACACATTACCAAGCTTACAAGGCTCAATCTAATTTCTTGATCGAGGATACTGTCACCGAACGGACACCCACAAAAAAGACACAATTATCGTTAACTGCCTACTCAATCGACAGCAGACGAACCATATAGCACATGACGTCTCTTCCATAGTACGCGTCTTTGTCCGGCGAGTTGAAAATCGACTGGTCGCATGTGGAAGTACAGTGAAAGACACGAGGAGCCTCCGCTGCTATGTTTGCAGAAAATGGCACGTTGTGGATACTTCATAATTTGTTCTGGGTCGCCCAGAGGCTTATCGCTTTTGTTTCGCGTCATGCGGTATACGGGCACGCCTTGTGATCGTGGGTCATATCGCTGGCAAGGTCTGATTGGCAAGAAGCATACAAGCTTTTACGACATCACCTCAAAGACCTGGTCATATTCGTGCAGAAAGTTGATCAGTCGGATTTCCAGTGATGTACAAGAAAAGACTTTGGCCCAGTCGTATGCTGAGGAGCAGCAGTCGCAATCGGGAGCGCGTCGACCCGGAACCAGCTCCGACTGGACAGCCTCCAATGGTGATTAACAACTATATCCCAACTACACTCAGCCATTAACCCCTTGGTAGCTCGGTGGGTGCGACTCGCAGCCGGCTATTAGTTCACCACTGCCCCTTATCCCGGGAATTCACTCTGTGACTGGCAATGCCGAAAGGTAGGAGGACGGATCAGAATAAGCACTATGAACTCGAGAGAGACCTGGCACTGGATCACAGTTTGGACCTGTAGCACGTTCATGAGAAGAAGGGGTTGCAATCTATGAGGGACCACGGTGTCCTTATAGGCGCGGAAGAACGGTTCATGAGCGATATCATGCCCTTCTTGAGGCTATATCGCCCACTCTAGGAGTGTACTGATCAAGTGGACCCAAAGAGATCAGCAGTTGTTTGGAGGCTTTCGCTCCTCACGAAACTCCTTTGACATGTGATCTCAAAATGAAGTCTACTGGCGCCTGTCACTCACTATTGTTCACCTCCCCTATCCAGGTCGTCAATGATATGCTCTTGCGTTGGGAGTATGTCAACTGACCGCTAACCCCCATCTCCATGTGGCCATCTGTCATCTGCCCGACTAGAAAGACTTTCATAAGATGGTCGTTTATGCGGCCGCGGTCCAGGGCTGAGAGTCGTATGGCCCCGTTTCTGGGCGTGAGACTTGTCCTGAGTTGTATCCGGTCTTTGACTTTCTTCATTTCTTGATCCTTTCCCTCCTCGACTCTCAAAAGTCGTACTGGTCTGCTGGTGAGTCTCATCCCCAGGATGAGCATAGATCTCATCGACCTCCAAGGGCAGTTCTGAGTCTTGACTTGTTGCAAAAGACGTTCTACTGATACTGATAGTCGCATTGTCGGTCTGTTCCACCAATTTTAGACAGTCCTCGACCAGGCTTTCAACCCCATTCAACTCTGTCTTTAAGCCCACAACGTCGTCACTGCTTGCCTTGCGAAGGAATTCCCAACTGGCTTTCTCTGAAAGCACTGCCACATATTCAAGGGCTCGCAACAGTTTGTCGTAAGACTTCAGAGCACTCTCAAGCCTGTCGCAGCCAATATTTAGGTTGTTGTGGCTGGTGACGCCTAGTTTCCCCACACTCAAATCCCTCTTTACTTCCCTTTGATGACGCCTGAGTTGACGGATAGAGTGACCCACGAACTGGGATATCTCGTTAAGTGTTGCTTGCGCCTTTGCATTATAGTGAATTCTCCCGCTCTTGGGGCAACTGGGTTGTGTCACGAATAAAGGGTTTGTCAGCCAGCGAGAAGCGACTGTTTTCACCGCCGCGAGCGTATCCTTCGCCTTCCCAAGCCGGCTCCCAGATACGACATGAGATGGATCGCCACTTTGTTCAGTAGACCTGACATACTCTGAAGTCTGAGAAGAAGAGGGAGAAATCAACGGAGAAGCAGGGAAGGAGCATGTATCCCAGTCGTACCTGTCGTCCTCGGCCTCTCCATTCATCTCCAAAGCTTTGGTGAGACAGCATTTGAGGTAATCGTAATCCGGGTCTTGTTCGAATCCCAGTTCGCGTACGTACTCAAGGCATTTGACGAACATCGTGGACTGGGTACCACACAAGCTATCGGCCGACCTTTGTTGCTTGATTTCAAGAATTTTGTCGAGTCTGTCTTCCTTGGTAGGCGCCTTTAAGCCTTGCCATGGCAGGCCTCCCCTCATGAGGTAGAAGAGCACGTAGAATATGGATTCAAGGTCGTCTCGTCGTGACTGCTGCTTTCGGAGGTGTGCATTGATGCTCATGTACCGAGCCGTCCCCACCAGATCCATGCCTTCGCACGGGGGGATATGTCTCTCGGTCTTGGAACATCGATAGTTCTCCGCCATGGCAGGGTCGATAAGGGAAATTTTGTTAGGGTACTTGCTGCCTGGTCCATGGATGAGGAAGTTCTCCGGTTTTATATCGCGGTGTATCAACCCCTGTCCATGCAAGGCCTCCGCTATTGATATCTAAAGACTTTAGCTGGATTGCCCTAACGATCAGGGCCATGCAGTGCCACGCACCATCTGTTTTCCGATCATTACCACGGTCTTCAGGGTGAACTTCCGCCCACAACCGTCGAACAAGTCCTCCAGGGAGGGTCCCAATTGATCCAAAATGAGGATGTTGTGGAGGCCGTGCCGCCCAAAGTAGTACACGTTGGGGATGCCGTCTGTCAGTAATGATTAGCCTGTGGTGTTCGGATTTGATGCATAGAAGTCCTTACCAGATCCTTTCAGCTTTCCATATGCCTCGTATTCGGTCTGAAGTTGTGTCTTATGATTGGTCTGAAATTGTGGTTTACCGGGTTCACAACGCTCCTGTAGCAGCGTTAGTCTGAGGATCCGGTGTTCTGATGGATAGCTACTCACAAATTTGATCGCTACTAGCCGATGATTTGATAGTCGATGCGCGTAGACATGCCGAACGTTCCTTCTCCAAGCTTTTTCCAACCTTGTACAACACGCCTTTGACCCGAAGA